TTGTGTTCTGATGTGAATCTTGCCCTGAGACATGGCCCATGGGGAGCTGCTCCATCTCACTGTGTCTGCTCATGGCGCTGCTGGATAAGGGTGATGCAGAGGCTCAGGGAATGGTGGAAACCGCATCTTCTTTAGCTGAGCATCCCCAAAAAGCTGCTCGTTTGGGATGTTGTTTTCCATTCCCATTGGATTCCTTTTTCCCTCCTTCCACAGTGAAGGATTCTTGTCCAGTGATTGCATATCTCCTGGGCAAAGAAGGACACATAGACTGAACACCTCGCATTGCTTCTTGGATGGATGGAGACAATCCCCATTTGCTGAAGGAGGGATGCTGATCCGGGTAGCACTGCCTTTCCACCTGGGGATCACTGTGACACCAAACTGATCCTATGGAGCCAGGTGGAGAGTGCTGGGGTGGTTCAGCCTGGAGAAGAGAAGGCTCCTTAAGGGAACACCTTAGAGCAGCTCCAGTGCCTAAAGGGGCTCTAGGAAACCAGGAGAGGAGCTTGGGGCAAGGGATGCGGGGATGGGATGAGGAGTTTCGTGCTTCCAGCTGGAAGAGGGAAGAGTCAGATGGGATATTGGGAAGTTCTTCCCCATGAGGGTGTTGGGATGCTGGAATGGAGAAGCTGTGGCTTCCCCATCCCTGGCAGTGCTCAAGGTCAGGTTGGACACAAGGGCTTGGAGCAAGCTGCTCCAGTGGAAGGGGACAGGAACCGGAGGAGCTTTCAGCTCCTTCCCAACCCGAACCATCCCAAGTGCTCCACGTCAAAGCCGGGCGCTGCCCCCAAGCAGGCACTGCAAGGGCTCGGAGGCGCAGTCGCATCTCGGGTGCCGCTCTCCAGCGCTGCCGGAGCTCCTCCCTTGGGATGCGGTGACTCAATGCCCTGCAGCTCCCGTTGCTCCCAGCGCCGGCTGCCCGGGCACGTCTGCGCTGCAGCGGGCACCGAGGGCGATGCCAACCCCTCTGGGTGCCTGCTGCAATCTCAGCGCCGCTCTCACCCCGCTGCTGCCCAAGGGATGCGGGCGCTGCTCGCTTCGGCACCTCGCTTGGTGTCAGCCTCAGCCCAGCTTCTCCTGTCCCGTACGGAGCCAGGCTGAGGAAGTTGGGGCTGTTCAGGCTGGAGAAGAGAAGGATGCGGGGAGACCTCAGAGCAGCTTCCAGTGTCTGAAGGGGGGCTGTAGGGATGCTGGGGAGGGACTCTTCATTAGGGATTGCAGTGACAGGACAAGGGGTAACGGGTTCAAACTGAAACAGGGGAAGTTTAGATTGGATCTAAGGAGGAAATTCTTTCCTGTGAGGGTGCTGAGGCACTGGAATGGGTTGCCCAGGGAGGTTGGGAATGCTCCATCCCTGGCAGTGTTCAAGACCAGGTTGGACGAGGCCTTGGGTGACCTGGTTTAGTGTGAGGTGTCCCTGCCCATGGCAGAGGGGTTGGAACTGGATGAGCTTCAGGTCCTTTCCAACCCTATTCTATGAGTCTATGATTAGGGTCTCATGTCCTGTCACATAACCAAGCCAAGCACCCTGGAGCTGAGCTCCTCAGCAGACCCACACATAGGGGACCCAGTGGCTGATCTCCCCCCCCAGCTCCCAAGCCCTATCTGATGGATGGTTTCTAATGCAGGGGAGCTGCTTCCTCCCAGCCAGCAAAGAAACACAACGGGGGATGTTTAGAATTCATGGGGATCATCTCCTCACCCAACACCCCCAAGTCCTTCTCCTCAGGCCTCCTCCATCCATTCTCCACCCCACGGATTGCCCCATCTACGTGCAGGACCTCGCGCTTGGCTCTGTTGAGCGCCATGGGGTTGGCATTGGCCCCTCTCCAGCTCATCCCTCTGGATCCCACCCCTTCCTTCCAGCTCCCATCACCTCCTGCAGGAATTCCGTGCTGCCTGCCCGTACCCGGCAGCAAGAAGCGGCGTCAGCAAGCGCCAGTCAGCGATTCTCTGCCGGCACAGGTAGAAGAGAAGCAGCTCCGGCTCCGTTCCCTCCACCCAGGCTCTTCTCAACCCCGACCTCCTGCCAATTGCCCAGCAGGAATTTGGAGGCGACTTCCATGGAGTCATCGCAGCTCTGCTGAGTCTGCCCGAACGTGTGGGGCTGAGACCAAAAGGGTTTGTGGGGCTGAGACCAAAGGGGTTTGTGGGGCAGACTTGGAGGTAGAAACCTCCCTGATGTGCTTGGAACAAGCAAGTCTGTCCTTTGGTAGAAGAGCGAGGTCTAAAGGGAGGAGGAAGTCATCCAGAAGGATTTGGGGACCGAGAATAAGGATTTGGGGACATGGAATAAGGATCTGGGGACATAGAATAAGGATCTGGGGACCGAGAATAAGGATCTGGGGACCAAGAATAAGGATTTGGGGACATAGAATAAGGATTTGGGGACATAGAATAAGGATCTGGGGACATAGAATAAGGATCTGGGGACATAGAATAAGGATTTGGGGACATGGAATAAGGATTTGGGGACATAATAAGGATTTGGGGACATTGAATAAGGATTTGGGGACATAGAATAAGGATCTGGGGAGCCGGTTGAACCCTGAGACCAATGTTGGAGATGGGCAATGGGTCTGTTCAAAGGATGCAAGAGGGGTCTGGAGGTGGGTAAGAGCTTCTCTCCAGGCTGGCTGATGGAGACCTTGGGCTGACAGCAGGGCATCAACGTGGGGAAACCCTGGGGAAGAGTGAATGTTGCTTTGGGAAGCGGAATAAAGTGGCCTCATGGATGTCACGTCCAGAGGGGTCAGAGGTGGATGTGATTTAAGGTCACTTCCAAGCCAAACCGTTCCATGAGCATGGATCTTTGCAGCATCCATCCCAAGGGCCTCTGAGTGTTTTATTGCTGTCTCTGAGGGATGAGTCAGGCTGAGACTTGGCGTTGCTGAACCCAGACAAGCTCCAAGAGGATGTTTTCCCCAGGGACCGTGAGCGATGCGCGTTCAGCATCTCAGGAGCGAGGTGCGCATGGAATAACGCTGCAAGATCCAAGGAATGCTGCTTCTCCTCTTGGGAATCCAGCCAAGAACGTGATGAGGCTTCATGGGTCACACCCCATGAGCTGTCCTTGAGCCGGAGGAGCTGAATCCTCAGCCCCATCGCTCAACCCCAATGAAGGTCAATGCATGTGGACCTCATCATCGTGTCCAGCCCAAAACGAGGATGCTCTGCATCATCCCTGTGATCTCCGATGGTTCCTCACTCGTTCCCCTCCACTCAGCACTCGTTGCACCACACCTGGATGCTGTGTCTGGGTTTGGGCCACCCATATGAGATAAGACATCAAGGAGCTTGGAGCAACCTGCTCTACTGGAAGGTGGGTTGGAACTGGATGAGCTTTAAAGTCCCTTCAACCCAAACCATTCCATGATTCCAGAAATGAATTCCATGGAGAGCCACCAAGACGGTTGGAGCCTGGAGCATGGTTGGAAGCTGGAACTTCTCCATAAGGAGAAACTGAGGAAACGGGGCTTGTCCAACCTAAAGAGAAGCCTTGGTGTCCCCTAACAGCACCTTGAGGTTATTGGGGAGACGGAGCCAGGTTCTCCATGGGGGTTCAGTGGAATCAGAGGGATTCACATGGGATACAGGGAGCAGCTCCATCCCTGCTGGTTTCCAAGTGAGGGAGGGAAGGGGAGGGGGTGTTTTAGGGATGCCTCAGGCTGGAGGGGAAGGAGGCTGCTGCCATCTAGAGCAGAGACTCCTCGGTGTGCGCTCACAGCAGTCAGGATGCGCTTCCCCAGCGCTGGAAAGAGCCGAAAAGTGGGAAGTTAAGGGAAAGCCATTAGGAGCTGGACCGGAGCAAGCCCCGCATTCCAGGCTCACATGGCTGCAGCGAATGGACTCAAAAGAGGTTGGAAAAGCCCATTCCTGCCTCCATCCCGCGGCACATTCCCGCTGCCTGCGTTCGCTGCAGCCAAACCTGCCCGCGAGCTTGGACACGGGAGAAACAGGGAAAAGGGAACGGGAAAGGGAACGGGAAAGCCGCCCGTAAAGAGGTGGCCCCGAACCACAGCCCTGGGAGTTGTCCCGACGTCCCCATGTCCTTCGGATCCAACCATGTTTCCCTATGTCGCCCCATGTCCCATTGTCCCCTAAGTCCCCACCCCCAGTCTCGCCATGTCCCCCCATACCCCCTCTGTGTCCCCGTGTCCCCCATATTCTCCATGTCCCCCCATGTCTCCAAGTCCCCCATGTCCCCCCATGTCCAATTGTCCCCTATGTCCCCCATGTCCCCCTGTGTGCCCATGTCCCCATAGCCCATGTCGCCCATGTTCTCCATGTCCCCCCATGTCCCACTGTTACCCATGTCCCCCCACATCCCCCCATGTCCTCCCTGTGTCCCCATGTCCCATTGTCCCTCATGTCCCCAAGTCATTCCCATATCCCCCTGTCCCCCCATTTCTTATTGTCCCCCATATCCCCATGTCCCATTGCCCCCTATATCCCCCTGTCCCCCCAAGTCCCACTGTCCCCTATATCCCCATGTCCCCCATGTCCCATTGTCCCCTATATCCCCCCATGTCCCCCCATATCCCATTGTCCCCTATATCCCCATATGTCCCATTGTCCCCTATATCCCCCCATGTCCCATTGTCCCCTATATCCCCCCATATCCCCCCATGCCCCATTGTCCCCTATATCCCCCCATATCCCCCCATGCCCCATTGTCCCCTATATCCCCATATCTCCCCATGTCCCATTGTCCCCTATATCCCCCCATTTCCCATTGTCCCCTATATCCCCATATCCCCCCATGTCCCATTGTCCCCTATATCCCCATATCCCCCCATATCCCCCTATGCCCCATTGTCCCCTATATCCCCATATCCCCCCATTTCCCATTGTCCCCTGTATCCCCATATCCCCCCTGTCCCCCCATGTCCCATTGTCCCCTATCCCCCCCATATCCCCGTGTCCCCCCTCCCTCTCCGTCCCCCCCTTCGCCCCCTCCCTTTTGTCCTCCCTCCCGCCAGGGGGCGCCGTGCCGCGGGGGCGTGGCCTGCTCCAGCAGCGCTCCGATGGCGGTGAGCCGGGCTCTCGGCCTCCGCTTGGCCTACGCGGCTGCCGGGGCCCTCACGGGGCTCTCGGTGTTCCTGAGCTGGAGCCTGGCTCCGGGCCTGCGGCAGCCCGCAACGGCGGCGGCCGGGGGGCTCTCGGGTACGAGCGGTGACCACGGGGCCGAGGGACTTGGGGGGGAGCCCCCCACACCCGGGGCCTGCTGGGCCCCTGGGTAAAGGGAGCACCGGGAGGCCTGAGGGCAATGGAGGGGGGACGGGACGGGGACCCCATTGGGGATGAGGAGGGTGAAGGGGGAGAGCTCTGCATGGCCCCAAGGCCGCGCTGGACACGGGGGGCTTGGGGCAGGGTGGGCTTTGGGCTTTGAGGTCCCTGCGTCCCAAAGCAGGGTTGGGATTTGGTGGGGGGGGGGGGGGTCAGCGGTGCTGTGCTTTAGGGGCGCTGTTGTGGTCCATGAGGGGTTCTTGTGCCTGTGAGGGGTAAGTGGTATTGGGAGGCTCTGGGAGGTGTTAGCTCGGGTATTGGGGTCTGCTTATGGGGCACGTGGAGGTTGGGGTGCTCATCTCCCTGGGGGAACAGGGGAATGGGGGTCGTGGAGCGGGGAAGCTCGCTGCTGGCGGGCTGGAATCGGGCAGGGCTTCTCCTTGCTGCCAAGGAGGTGGCTTCCGAAGGAAGATCTAAGGGGGAAAACGCCAGTGTGGAGGAGGTTTGTGTGCGGGGGTACGTCACTGTTGGAGTGGGGTAATGCAGTGTTGGAGTGGGGTGCTGCAGTGTTGGAGTGGGGTAATGCAGTGTTGGACTGGGGTACTGCACTGTTGGAGTGGGGTAATGCAGTGTTAGACTGGGGTACTGCACTGTTGGAATGGGGTACTGCAGTGTTAGACTGGGGTACTGCACTGTTGGAGTGGGGTAATGCACTGTTAGACTGGGGTACTGCACTGTTGGAGTGGGGTAATGCAGTGTTAGACTGGGGTACTGCACTGTTGGAATGGGGTACTGCAGTGTTAGACTGGGGTACTGCACTGTTGGAATGGGGTACTGCACTGTTGGAGTGGGGTAATGCACTGTTAGACTGGGGTACTGCACTGTTGGAGTGGGGTAATGCAGTGTTAGACTGGGGTACTGCACTGTTGGAGTGGGGTAATGCAGTGTTAGACTGGGGTACTGCACTGTTGGAGTGGGGTAATGCAGTGTTAGACTGGGGTACTGCACTGTTGGAGTGGGGTAATGCAGTGTTAGACTGGGGTACTGCACTGTTGGAGTGGGGTACTGCACTGTTGGAATGGGGTACTGCAGTGTTAGACTGGGGTACTGCACTGTTAGACTGGGATAGTGCACTGTTGGAGTGGGATACTGCACTGTTACACTGGGATACTTCCCTGTTATACTGGGATACTTCCCTGTTATACTGGGATACTTCCCTGTTATACTGAGATACTAGACTGTTATACTGGGATGCTGTGCTGTTATACTGGGATGCTACGCTGTTATACTGGGATACTGCACTGTTATACTGGGATACTGCACTGTTATACTGGGGTACTACACTGTTATACCTGGGTACTTCCCTGTTATACTGGGATACTTCCCTGTTATACTGGGATACTTCCCTGTTATACTGGGATACATCACTGTTATACTGGGATGCTTCCCTGTTATACTGGAATGCTACACTGTTACACTGGGACACTTCCCTGTTATACTGGGATACTTCCCTGTTATACTGGGACACTTCCATGTTATACTGGGATACTTCCCTGCTATACTGGGATACTTCCCTGTTATACTGGGACACTTCCATGTTATACTGGGATACTTCCCTGTTATACTGGGATACTTCCCTGCTATACTGGGATACTTCCCTGTTATACTGGGATACTACACTGGATTCTTCCGGTTCAGGTAAAGAGGGTGTTCATTTGCTTTGTGTCTGGCAGAATTCATTGAACCAACAGGTTCTCCCTGGTGCCCTGCTGCCCAGGGCTTGTTCTCCAGGCAGGGAAGGGCAGGAAAGGAAGCTGCTGACCTGAAAGCTTCCCTTGTGCAGCCCCTGCAAAGTTCATTACCAGGCACTGCTTTGTGCCTTGTAATCTGCTCCGAAACCTCTTGGCAACTCCCTTTGTGCATTACGTGATGCTGTACGAGACAAAGACCTTCTTCCACCCCAGTACATGTGATGTGGCTCAAGTGTGCAGCTCCTGGTGGGAAACCAAACCCCTGTGGTGGGTGCATTCGGTGTCTTTAGCACGAAGAGGGGGTTATTTTGGCTCCTGTGTGCCTTTTGCATGCAGAAGCTTCCAAAAGTGACCTGAGAGTCTTGCAGGTCGAGGGCAGAAGAGTGCTTGGGCTGGTGAATTAGGCACCTGTGTTCCCTGTTATCGTGTCTCTGATGATGCCAGCCTCCTCTGTGAGTGTTCACCTCATTGAAAGGCTCTTTCTGCTTTACCCATCACCTCCTGGGTGCTGGGAGGGGTTGCAGCTCTGGTTGCTGTGCCTTTAGGTTGCCAGGGATGTGTATTTCAGGGTGTTTGTTCACCCTATTTCCCCTCTGTTAGGGGACTCCTGTTGGTGTTAGGAGGCTGTGTCTTTCTCTGTTATCAGTTCCATCTCTTGCTTATCTTCTAGAGAACCCTTCCTGCCGTGGCTTGCATTGAGATCTGCCCTCCTCTGCTGCTTGCACTGACTTTCTCTTGCTCTGACACCTTTCCTGGCCTTTAAAGTAAGGATTTAGCTTAAGGATTAAAGGGGAAACTGCCACACAAAGGAGCCTGGAACTGGAACCCTCAGTTATGAACCCAGAAGCCTGTGATTTAAGGTGCTGAGCAAGCTCCCTTTCCAGTCTTTCAGGTTGGCTCATCCTAAACCCTCCACACAACGCCTAGGAAAAGCCACTTGCTAATCCTCACGCCTCTGGTCATGCAGACTTGGGAAGGTGGGGATCACCTGCAAGCACACCCACACCCTGGGTATGCTCCCTTCTTTGGAGCAGAACCACCCAGCCCAGTGCTTCCGATGACCTGAGGGGCTCCAGAGCCTAATCCCAAGCTGGGAAAGGCATTCCTGGGGGGAACAGCAGCTGCTTTGGTGACTTCCCAGTCCGTTTGGAGCTGGTCATTGCTCTTTGTGTCTTCGACCTTCTCCCCTCGCTGCCTCAAATGAGCTGGTTCTCCTAAGCCAGCCACGCATCTCTAAGCAGCTCCCATGGCTGCACTCTGCCAGAGGCACTTTCAAAGGGAAGAAAGCAATTGTGTGTTTTCAGGATGCATCCAGCCCTTTCCTGAGTGCTTTTTAATGGCCTGGTGGAGCCAGCTCCTCCTTTTCCAATGGAATAGCAAGAGAGGGGTTGGTTTTCCGCTCTGCAGAGACTTCCCTGGCCTTTTCCAAGCCGTTTCTGGCAAGATACAGAGCTTGTGCTCCGTGAATGTGATGTGGAGCAGGCGTTACAGCAGCTGCAGAGGAGATGAGCCACAAAACGTGCCTTTCAGACCCTTGAAATACCTGGTAAGGGAAGGCAAAAGCAACTTCTTTGTGCTGCAGGCAGAGGTTCTCTGAAGGCTGGTAACTCCATGCAGTAGATCTATTGATGCAGATGGGTTTGTTGCCCATCCAGGCTGGAATACCACGGCCAAAAGCATTGCAGTTGGGGATGAAAGCAGTTAAAAGTGGTTGGATTTGCATAGGGAGTACTGCACGTTGTTTGCTGAAGGTTTGGCCCCTGTTGTAGTCCATGGTTAAGGAGGGAGGGAAAACTCCGGTGGGAGTGCAGGAAAAGCTGCTCTTGGCTTGTGCTTAACGGTGATTTCATGGGAGGAGAGGATGAGTCCTGCTGAAGGGCTGGAAAATGTGATGCTGGATCCATCTGGGCTATGGAGCAGCTCAAGCCTGACCCCTCGTGTCCTGCCTCTGAGGTGTCCCAACAGCAACCTCCTCCTCACACATGTGCATCCCGATGGGTGTCCCACCAAACCCAAGCTGCCTGGAATAGCAGCACACTCAAGTGCAGGGGGGAATTCTGCCAACTGAAAGGCAGTTTTCATTGGAATTCTCCTAAGATTCATAGAATCATGGAATGGTTTGGGTTGAAAAGGACCTGAAAATCACCCAGTTCCAACCCCCTGCCATGGGCAGGGACACCTCACACTAAACCAGGTCACCCAAGGCCTTGTCCAACCTGGCCTTGAACACTGCCAGGGATGGAGCATTCCCAACCTCCCTGGGCAACCCATTCCAGTGCCTCAGCACCCTCACAGCAAAGAATTTCCTCCTTAGATCCACTCTAAACTTCCCCTGTTTCAGTTTGAACCCGTTACCCCTTGTCCTGTCACTACAGTCCCTAATGAAGAGTTCCTCCCCACCATCCCTACAGCCCCCCTTCAGATACTGGAAGCTGCTATGGGGTCTCCACGCAGCTTCTCTTCTCCAGGCTGAACAGCCCCAGCTTCCTCAGCCTGTCTTCATACAGGAGGTGCTCCAGTCCCTGCTCATCCTCGTGGCCTCCTCTGGACTTGTTCCAACAGTTCCATGTCCTTTTTATGTTGAGGACACCAGAACTGCACACAATGCTCCAGGTGAGGTCTCACAAGAGCAGAGCAGAGGGGCAGGATCACCTCCTTGGACCTGCTGCTCACGCTCCTTTGGATGCAGCCCAGGATACGGTTGCTTTCTGGGCTGTGAGCTCACACTGCAGGCAGCTCATGTTCATTTTCTCATCAACCAACACCCCCAAGTCCTCCTCTTCAGGGCTGCTCTGAACCTCTTCTCTGCCCAACCTGTCGCTGTGCCTGGGATTGCTCCAACCCAAGTACAGGACCTTGCCCTTGGCATGGGGTTGGCATCAGCCCACCTCACAAGCATGTCGAGGTCCCTCTGGATCCCATTCCTTCCCTGCAGCACCCACACACAGCTTGGGGTCATCGGGTGCTCTCAACCCCACTGTCCACATCAGCAGCAAAGATGTTGAACAAGAGCGGTCCCAACCCCATCCCTGATGGGCACCACTCGTTACTGGTCTCCAAGTGGCCATTGAGCCATCGATTCCTCTCCTTCCCAGAGCTGGTTTCCTAAAACACTCCCCTGTTGCTCTTTGGGCAGCAGAGCTCTTGAAGAAGAGCTGGTTTTAAGCTCTAAGTTGGGGCTCAGCTTGGCTTTAGCTCCCACATGGAAGCGTTTTACCCTTTGGGAGCATCCACCGGGCAAAGGAACAGCGACGTGGGGCTTCTGGAGTGGGTCTTTGTGATGCTCCCGCTGGTGCAAGGGAGGGTGGGAAAGGCTCTTTAGATGGGAGAAGTCCCTAGGGACCTCTTTTCCATCCTCCTTCGTGGTTTCCATCCTCCTCTGGCATCGCCCAGCAGCTCCAGCGTTGTTTATGGGCTGCTTTTTGGCCTCTCTTCCTACACACAATGTCCTGAGCTCTGAGCAATGCGATGCAGCTGGGGGCTGAGCAACCCCGTTGTGTTTGCCATGGGGTTGATGTTTGGAGAAGGGGGGAGGTTTGGCTTTCAAAGGGGGCTTAGGGCAATATTTAGATAGGAGGGGTTTTTCCTTCCCACGTTTGAGCTTTTGAACGTGCAGGGTTTGTTTCAAGTGGATCCAAGTGTGCTGTAAGCTTGCTGCTTTTTTTTTGGGGGGGGGGGGTTCAATAGGAATTCATCATGTCCAAGTACCTGTGTGCTTGGAGCTCACAACCCCCCCTGCTCCCTCGCTGTTGTTTCAGATGGCCTTGGGGCTGTTTCCTTTTCCTGGAGCTCTGTGTTCTTGGGATAAGCAGGCTTGGCTTTAAAGGCAGCTTTCCCGTTGCTCCCAGTCGGAAATCCCTTGATTGTGTCTTATTTGAGGCTCATTCCAGGCCTGACGTGGAAGGGGGGGTGAGGTTTGGGATGTTGTTTGAAGCAGGAATGTCACCGGAGCGGAGGAGCAGGTTCAGGCTTTGCTGTTGGGTGTGAATGCAAAGGAGGAGGAGGTTTAGGGGGGGGCATAGCCTGAGGTGGGAAAGGAAACCTGAAGCTCCTGCAGTTCATCCTACCCAGCTTTCAATGGGGCACAAGGTCCATCTGGCCCAGTCAAACCTGCTTTAAACCCTGGGGTTTGGAGCTGTGGAACTGGAACCTGCCCGTGGCTTTGTGTTAAAGCTTTTGCTCTCCAAAGAGATCTGATGTGGACTGGAGCTCCTGGGGTGGTTTTAATTGCTCCCTGTGGCAAGGCTTTGCTGTAAAACAGGACAGTGAACGTGTTCTGGTGGTCAATAGAGGTGAGCTTTCCTTCCCTGAGTGTTTTGGTTGCATTAAACGGGAATGCAATGCTCCATTCCACCCTTTGCATTTGGGGTCTGATAGAAATAGTGGGGGTTTTTCCTCCTCCTGAAGGCTCTGCGTGAGTAAGGAGTAGCTTCAAGAGGCTTTTTTAGCAAAGGGCTTTCATCTCTCGCAGGGTTTGTTGGTGATAACTTCATTTAGCACTTAGCTTCCATCCCAGTTCCAATAGCTTGGGATGCCCCAGCTATTCCCATGCATCCAGAGGATGCTTTTACTCCCTTTTGCGGCTCTTCCTTCCTTCTGAGCAGCGCTTGATGGGGTTCAGGTGCCCACTTGAGCATCTCCCACGCTGAGGACGAGCAGGTTAAGCAGTGAAGAAAGCAAGTCCTGCCTTTGTGGCTCCTCCTTGTCCCTGAGGGCTGCAGGAGGCTCCTTTCCCCCTCTGCCATGGGCTAAGGGAGACGATGGGGCTGAGCTGCCTGGGAAGGGATGCCCTGTGTGAGCCCCGTGTTCTTTCTGCTTCGAGGCAGAATGAACCCAGCCCATCACTTGGCCAAGTCACTTGGTGTCAAGTGCTGAGTCAGGCTTTGGGGCAGGGCAGGAAGATCCATGACCCCCATCTCACATGCTGCCTCTGCTCTCCCAATGGAGAGCTTTGGGAGCGCCAGCAGCAGGTTTCGGGGAGGGAAAGGGCAGCAGCAGCTTGACTCAGCACTCTGCCATCCATTGTGCCAAATCATCTGGGAGGAGAAGCAGGTTCTTTTGCTGACTTCAACCCCACAAGTTCCCCTTTTCCTTCCAAGACGGGGCTCGAACTTCCTCGAGCAGGAGCTGGAAGGAGAAGTGCAGGAGAGGAAGTGGTTCTGAGATGCTGAGGCATCAGCTCCTCTGGTAACCCCCGTGGCAGGGGTTGTGCCAAGGCACTGGTGCATCTGCAGAGCTCCAGAGTATCAGCCACCGGCGCTGGGATGTGGAGCAGGGTCTGTACCTGAGGCTCAGAGGGATGATACTGAGTGCCTGGAGCCAGAAACCACACCGAGACACTGCTTAGCTGAAGCAATGGACTCATTCTGCCTTGTTTGCTGGGTATCAGCACTGTACCCTTGGGCTTTTAGTTCACTCTTGAGTGCTTTTGCTGTTCTGTTGGGGCCTGGGGGCAGGTTTTCCATTCCTGAGCCACCCTTGAGGGTATTTCAGCTTGCTTTGCTCCATCCCAGCACGCTGAAGGGACAAACCCCATTGCCAGGTTCTCCCATCAAGCCTCCAGTTGACTCTCTGTGTATTCAACTCGATCCGGAGCTGGATGCCAGCTGCAAAGGAGCTGGAAGCTGCTGGGGAGCTCAACCCCCCAAGTCCAGTGACTCTCCTCTCTCAGCTCCTGTTCTCTGTGTGCTCTGATGCATTCCATAGGGTATGGAACGCATCAGTGACCACATCCAGTAACAGAGGAGCTTGTGGCCGGCCTTGGTGTTAAACAGGAGTGGGCAAAGCTGCTCTTGCTTCCTTTGGCTCTAACTCTAGGTTGAGTTAAGGGCTTCGAGGAGGTTTAGTCACACTGCCACTTCACTTGCTATAATTGGACTCGATGCTGCTTGCACTTGGGGTTGTGTAATGGGGAATGACAGGCAGGCTTGCGCTGGTGGGTTATGAAGGCTTTGACAGGCTGCAAGCGTGTGAACAGACAGTTCTGTGCGTTGAGAGGCTCCTGGAATTGTCTTTGTGAAGTGGGGGGGGGGAAGGAGGGAGCAGGGTTTAGAGCAAGGGAGGAGAAGGAGGCATCGTTTTCCAGAGGGAAATGGATCTTCAAGGGGGACGTGGAGCTCCCGGAGCGAATCCAGAGGAGGCCACGGGGATGCTGCGAGGGCTGGAGCCAGGCAGGGAGAGCTGGGCTGGGGCAGCCTGGAGGAGAGAAGGCTCCTGAAGGGGAGACTCGGAGCAGCTCCAGTGCCTCAAGGGGCTGCAGGAAACCCAGAGAGGGGCCTGGGACAAGGGATGTAGGGCCAGGCCAAGGGGAATGGCTTGAACCTGCCCGAGGGGAGACTGAGATGAGCTCTTAGGCAGAAGCTCTTCCCTGGGAGGGTGCTGAGGCGCTGGCACAGGGTGCCCAGAGAAGCTGTGGCTGCCCCATCCCTGGCAGTGTTCAAGGCCAGGTTGGACACAGGAGCTTGGAGCAAGCTGCTCCAGTGGAAGGGGTTGGGGTTGGAGCTGGAGGAGCTTTAAGCTTCAAGCAGGCTGGGATTCCACGAGAAGGATTTAGGTGAAGCTGTAATGAAGACCTGGATCTCAAACCTGTGCTGAGGAAGAGGGATGCTCGTGCAGGCAGGGATTTATTATTCCCCTCTCTTTGGTGGTGGTGGGAGGGGGAATGGCCACGAATCCTTAGCATTCCTTGCTATTCCCAGTGGGATCTATGGGCTGTGTGTGCTGCCCCTACTGACTGCTCTCGCTGTCCGATCGATCAGGTGTTCTGGCGCTCTGGGCCCTGATCACGCATGTGATGTATGTGCAGGATTACTGGAGGACCTGGTTAAAAGGGCTGAGGTTCTTCCTCTTCATCGGGATCCTCTTCTCAGCTCTCTCCGTGGTGGGGTGCTGCACCTTCCTCGCTCTGGCCATCACCAAGCAGCAGTGTGAGTGCTTTGCTCGAGCAGGTAACGGGGCAGAGGGGATGCTGGACCCAGTGATGCTGGGATGGGGCTGGAAGGAACAGAAGAGGCTGCAGAGCAGAGCTGGGGGTGCTGCTGCCATCGCTCTGAGAGGGGTTAAGAGGCTTTTAGGGGGGGGGGCTGCAAGAATGCCCCTGCATTTCCTTTACCTGCTGTGATATCTCAATGACACAAGACTAATTCTGCTGCCCAACGTGTGCCACTGCCTTAGGGCATCTTCTAACCTATAGGAGCCACCTTGAGAAGCCTGGTCTAAAGGCTGCTGGGAGGCAGGCCTTGTTTTCCAGCTTTATTTCCTATAGGAACTGGTTTTCCAGCTTTATTTCCTATAGGAACTGGGATTTACTTGCTCCTGTGACAAAGGGGATGCTCTTCATGCATAAAGCAGGGGGGGTGAGGATGCTAAAATCCAAACGGGGGGGAAATACCTTCTATGCTCAGTCAGCAGCTAAAGCTGTGTGGCTCTTAAATCCCTTCCCATTATCCAAGGAGGGTTAATTCCCCCCCCCCCCCCCCAGGATTTGCTTGGCCATAGAGCAAAGAGAGCAGGCTCAGGGGTTGTTGGTTTTAGAGCCTGGCTGTTTGTTGCTTGCTGCATTTGGGCTGCGAGCCACCAAGAGCCCTGGTGGTGATGGTCATAACCCACCAAGAGCCCTTGGCTTAGCCTAAATACGCTCCCTGTGGAGGCTGGAGTGCTTCAGCCTTGTGCAAGGGCATGAAAACACTGGTATGGGGCCCTTAGAAATACACAGGGAAAGGGAAAAGCAAATATTTTCCATCACTTTCCTTGGAGACATGAGGAAAAACTGTTTGGGGGTTGGGGAATTTGTGGGGGTTTTTAGGGAAATGGAGGTATTTTAGGGAAAACCCTAAGTTGAGGGGAAAACATCTGCATTAGGTTGGTTGTGTATGGAATGCTTAGGAGTGGGGCTTGGAGTGAGTGGGATTTACTGAGGTTGGGGTATCTTTGGCTCATAGACACACACCACAAAGCTCCCAGGAGCTGGGACGGGGACGGGGGGGAGTGAGCTGGGTTCTTCCTGCACGAGGGATGCATGGGGTTTTAACCTGGATCTCTCTCTTTTTCCCTCCTAGCCCTGACTGATGCCAAGAGCTACTACCTGTCCTCTGTGTGGAGTTTCATGGCCTTGAAATGGGCCTTCCTGCTCAGTTTGTACGCCCACCGCTACCGCAACGAGTTTGCAGACATCAGTATCCTCAGTGACTTCTAACACTTGGACTTCCAAACCTTGTCTGAAGGTGCTGGGTGCACCCCCCACCCCCTGAGAGGCAGAGGAGGAGCCCCCCCCCCCCCCCTCCAAGTGCTGCTTGGTTTGTGTGTCTGCAGTAGGGGTTTTTCCCCCAGTTGCTTTTACTCCACCATTGCAAGTGTGGCTGCTGCTGCTGCTGATGTCCGTGCATCTGTAACCTCCCTGGGGCCCCTGGCTCTGCTGGGAAAGGGAGAGACTCCAACACAGCAGGTCTCCATCCACTCTTTGCACTGCCCTGAAGTTCAGGCCACCCTGAGCCCTCCGGGAGCTGCAGGGTTCATACCTCATGCCTGCAGCACCCAGCACCTTGTCCTCATGGCTGCCTCACCAGCGTGGTGCCCCAGCACGCTGCTGTGTGGCTTCCAAGCTCCTTTTGCACTGCTCTGCCCTTCCAAGAGAACGGGAGAGGTGGGGAGGTCCCTTTTGTACCTGCCAGCAGCATCTCCCAGCAGTTTCTTTTCACACCTTGGGGGCAAGGTCAGCTCGTTCCTGTGGTCTGGAGGAGCCCGAAGGGACGGGCCAGCAGCAGAGAAGCACCAGGGCTCTCTCAGAGATGGGCAGGGTTGTTTCTGGCTGCTCTCCAGGATCATTTTAAAAGGGAATATTAAGGGCATATTGAGCACTTGGATGTGGAGCATTTAGAATCAGGTGTTTGGGTGCAAGAGGAGGTGGCCAAAGGCTCACCCCACGCTCTCAGAGGCACGATTGTGCTCAAGAAAGAAAACCTCTGCTTCCTTTGCTTTGCTTTCCTTCGTTGCCCTGTAGCAGGATGGGAGAGGGGAGGATCGTGGTGCTCAGCAGCAAGAAGGGTCTCCAGCAGGCCTCAGCATCGTGCAGCCGTGGATGGATTGCTCCCGTGCAGTGAGTTAGGAGGTGACAGGTTGGAAGGCCCAGGCCATGACTGCTGCATCCCTGCAGCTCAGCCCTGTGTGCCCCTGCCCTGACAGCCTCAACCCCAGTGGGGTTGGGGAGCCTCTTTATCCCTGTGGTTTGCTGCCCTGAAGCCTTCAAGCCTTTACATCCTCAAGCTGTGCTAAAGGCTGTGGGCTGCTCCTCTGGCCCATCCAGGCTGGGCTGATGTTGGGGTGATGGTGCTGGAACTGGGAATGGGGGTTTTCAGGGATAATTCTATAGGGGGGGGTTGAGGAGAGAGGCAGGAGAAGCCCCTTCCCCAATGGGAGATGACCAAGGTGGGTGCTGGAAGCGCCTCCATGGCAGGGGGTGGGTGATGGGACCTGCTCAGGGTGCTGGGACAAGGGAGAGGTGAGTGGAAAGCCCTGTGTGCTCTCAGCCCAGCTTCCCTGTGCAGAGCTGTTGGCTTGTCCTGTCTGCCACCTTGTCCTGGTGGCGTGCTCCAGCCGAGGGGTGCTTGAATCCCTCTCCACGCTCCCAGGCTCCATCCTCACCTTCGCTGCTCTCCATTTGCCTGGGGAAGAGGAGTGGTCCAAGCCCCCTCGGTTGAGCTCTTGAGGGGATGGATGTTGGAGGTGGCAGCAGCGCATCCGGACCGTGTGCTCCTGTCCCTTGGGTAGGGAGATCCTCAAGGAGATGGATTGGGTCGATGGGGGAAGCCAGGCAGAGGCTGGGCTGTGAAGTGATGACTTAGGAGTCAGGCTTTGCAATACTAAAGCCTCCCTGTCCGCTGCAGCCCGGATGCAGAGGGATGGAGTTGCTCATCCCTCTCCTCTACCCAAAGCTGTGGAGCTGGCAGGTGGGTTTAGTGTTGGTTATGGCAAGCAGCAGCACTGTGGCTGGGCTGAAAACTGGGCTCTGTAAATACATGATCTATTTTTACATGGGTTCTGCTTCCTTTGCACGCTTGCTGCTCCGGTGGGATGCTCTCAGTCACGGTGGGGGGGCTCATGAGTGTGTATCCCAGTGTCTCCTTGTACTAAACCACACTAGAACTCATATGAAGAGCAGGAATACAGTCTCTTTTCTCACCAGACCCGGGTTTGGAGTGGTTTTTCCCTGGCAGGATGTGATATTCCATCTCAATTCTCCCTTGGGTGGAACACTTCATCCGGGCTGCATCCATTGGGATGGGGAGGTATTGTCCATCCCTGGCAGGGTTCAAGGCCAGGTTGGATGGGGCTGCTCTAGTGGAAGGTGTCCCTGCCCATGGCGGGGGGGGCTCCTTTCCATCCTAAACCGTTCCATGTGTTTGGATGAAGCCATCGGTTTCCCAAAGGATGGGGGGAAAGAGATGCTGTAGCCTATGAGCACCCTCCCTGTGGGATTTTGGGGGCCATTGGGTGCAGTGGGAGCTTGATGCCCACCTGGGAAAGGGCAGGGTCATTCCTCTGCGAGGTGATGGGACAAGGGTTGGTGGTACCTAAGGGTGATACCTAAGGTACTAAGGGTGGTACCTAAGGGTGGTACCTAAGGTACCAAGGGTGGTACCTAAGGGTGGTACCTAAGGTACCAAGGGTGGTACCTAAGGGTGGTACCTAAGGAGCCTTAAACCTGTGGTGCTGATGCGCTGGCTCTTGCCATCTCCAGGTGGGAGTAAGCATTGCCCAGCTTCCTCCTGCACCGTGAGCATCTCCTTGGTGGAGAAATCCACCGTGGAGCAGCGGGTTTGGAGGGGGCCCTGCATGGAGATGCCCCATCCCACATGGAGATGCCCCATCCCGCATGGAGATGCCCCATCCCGCATGGAGATGCCCCATCCCACATGGAGATGCCCCATCCCACATCGATACCCACATCCTGCAGCCCCAGTGCTTGAGCAGCCTCTCCTGGCTTCACAGAGGAGGAGTCAATCCCTGCCTCCACTGGAAGCCAGCACCTCCTCTTCCTCATAGGACTTTGGGAAGGAGAAGGCAGCTTTGGGGGGCTGAGCAGGGAGGGGAAAGGCAAAGCAATGCTTTAGATTGGAGGTCACTGGGAGCATGGTGGGGAGCCCTCATCCCAACCCTGACTCTGCGTTGGGTGAGCCCTTGGGCTGCTCTCCCCATCCCAGTCCTGGTACCACGGATGCCCCAGGGACCAGGACCTTGTGCTGTGCCCCGTGCCGAGGCCCCCGCATCCTCCCCATCATCTGCTTCCCGTAGCGCGGCAATGGGAACATTTGGAATGCATTTGGGAAGTGTTGGGATGGCGTCTCCCTTTGATGCTGCTCCTGCAGGAGGGAGGCTTCCAAGGCCCCGTGCTGTGCTGGGGTGGGGGGCACACGAGCCAGCTCCGGATCCAGCTACAAGTGACCTGAGTTTGCTGCTGGTCTCAGCCACTCAAGCGGCCCCTGACAAGGAAGGGGCTCGCAGCAGCTTCACTGTGAGAGGTCTCCCCCATGGGAGGGATAAGAGGGCACTAAAGGTACCCCCCCCGCGCCCCAAAGCAGCACCAAGAGAGAGGGATGGGGGAGATGGGGCTGAGCCCCCCAACCAAAGCCGGCTGGGAGCACCCATGGGTGCAGTGCGGGACGTAGCCAGCAGAGGGCGGCAGTGGCTCGGCCGTGGCTGGGGTTGGGAAGGGGAGCATCATCTTCATCCCCACATCCTCATCACAGGGATGTGGGTCCAGAGGAGGCCACGGAGATGCTGCGAGGGCTGGAGCCCGGCTCCACGTTAAGACGATGGCCTCCGGTCCGTCCTTCTTTACGTGCTGCTCCCCAAAGGCGTGCGGATCCCAGCCCCATTCCCAGCCCACACCGGGAGTTCCCATCCCCATCCAGCAGCATTTTCTCCACGCAGATGCCCTCTTTTCCCCGTCACCGAGGAGCAGCCACGTTCCTATCGCTGGCACTTGGCAGCATGAGGAAGTCCTCAGGAATCAGGCAGGGTTTGGCACACATGGGGGGGGGGGCTTGCAGAAGACTTTGGAGCCGGAATGGAGCCAAGCCCTGCTCTGTCTGCATCACACCCCAAGTCTTGGACAGGGCTTTGGGTGACAGGCTCTAATGTGGGGTACCCCTGCCCATGGCAAGGCCTTGGGACTGGACGAGCTTTAAGGTCCTTTCCAACCCAAACCATTCCAAGGGCAGGTCTCCAGCAGCTTTGCTGGGCTCTTGGCTCACGTCTGTTGCTTGCCCCCTACCAGTGGCCCTGATCCCCCCTTCCTGCCGGAGGATTTGAATCCACTTGGGTTCAAAGCCCCCTTAAACCGAACACCAGGGTTGGGTTTTTTCTTGCACTGGAGCAAATGTGCTCTCAAGATGTGGGCAGGGAGGAAACGGCCGCTCAAAGGCTTCAGTGCTGCAGCTGGGGCTGCTCAATGCGCACCCTCGGTGCTGGGGTTTGATGCTCGGTGCCTGCTGAGGGGGCCCATTGGGTCCATGGGTCTCTAAGTGGGATCCGGGCTGTGCTTGGGGTGCCCAAGAGCTCTAAGCCATGGGGCAAAGAGGCCTTGAGGCATCCTTGGTGTGACCGTGGATGGGCCAAGCCCTGGGAGCACAGAGCTTGGAGGGAGCAGGCAGGAAGCTCAAAGGTCTGCCCTGTCCCTGTTCCCTTGGGAATGTCCCCCTGCATCCCAATGGGTCTCATCCAGCTGGGAGCAGGAGGGAGCTGCGTGCTCCAATGGATGCAGCCCAGCACCCAGCCCCATTCCTCAGTGTCCGGATGGGGACAGGAAAACCTCCCTATGAGGAGCATATCCCTGCCCAAGCCCCCTTTGCTGGAGCCCAAAGGTGTCCCCTTGCTCCCCAGTGCTGTATCTCAAGCTGGATGGGTGCTGGCCTCATGGACATGAAGGTCATCACCTTCAGCGCTAAGTGCTGCCGTGGTGATGCTCATCCCAAGGGAATTCCTTGGCTCCTCACAGGCCAGCAGGAGAGATGGGCATGGTAAAGAAGGGGGATGAAAGCCCTCCGTGGAGCTGTTGGAGCGTTGGGGTACGGAGCCGGAGCTGGGATGCAGCCGTGGGGCGAGCAGGGGGTTGAGCATCACACACACGAACAGGGAATGGTTATTTTTAGGGCCGTGTTTCAGCTTGGAGAAGAACCAAGCGAGGGAAACGCTTCAATCTGGTTCCAATATGGAACAAGGAGCCCGAAA